TATAAAGTTAACCCCAAAGTTAACTTCGAAAGCTAACATTTGAACACTAATCAAAGTAAGGAAAAAGTTACAGTAAAAGAAAGCAGATCTGTGGTTTACTGGGGCTGGGTGAGGGTGGTCATTGATTGCAAAGGGGCACAAGAAAACTGTTGTAATTAAGAGGTTATAAATTCTGTTCGACATGTTGCTTGCGTACATTTAAACAAAACTTATTGAATTGTATATTTTAAAAGGATAAATTTTATTGTATATAAAACCTCAATAAACCTTTTTAAAAATATTAACCAAAATGATAAATCCCTTTAACAAATTAAAAGAAAAAAGATACCTTTTTTCTTTTAATTAAGATTTTTGTTATAAGAGATGTTATAAACATCTTTTATAACAAAATCTCTTAAACTAGAAATAGATGCAGATTTCTTAACCCCACAAAGGATATCTACAAAACAATTAAAACAAACATGCTTGATTATGAAAAGCCAAAGTAAAATTATTAAACACAAAAACCCCAAAGGTCAGATTATTGTAAATATTGGAGATCTTAAAAGAGTGTAGCAAGGCAAAGAAAAGAATAAAATCTGTAAAGACTGTAAAAGGAAAAATAAAACTCTTATTATTTGCATAGGACATGTTTATATAGAAAATTCAACAGAAACCATAGATAAACTCTTAGAAATAATAAACTTCTATGAAGATGATCATAAAGTTTTATCAAATGAAGCCATAAAATAAATTAATAATAACATAAATCATATTTATAGGTGAAACATAAGGAAATATATCAAATTACCCAAATTGATCTATGAATCAATAAAATTTCTGTCTTTTTTTTTTTTGGTACATGATAAGTTAATTGCAAAATATATGTGGAACTACCCAAAGACAAGAATATTCAAAACATCCCTAAATAAAAAGAAAGGCTGGGAGAGAGAAGGGTATTTGACTAATTACTATGAAATTATAGAATTGAAATAGTGGGGTAGCTTTGGAGATCAAAAACATGCACATATTAAAATTTCAGACTTCTGGCCAAAATGTAGGCACAGGTAGAAACACTGTGCCTCCTCACACAACCAAAAGAAAGGTAACAACAAATTTAAATAAAAAATACAACCAGAACTGACATAAAATAAAAATGTATGAAAGTCCAAAAATCAAGGAGTTAAAGAAGAAACATTCATTCAGACTGGTGGTAGGAGGGTCAGAGATGGACAGCCAGGCAGAAAGGACTCTCAACAAGATGGTGGTTGTTAGTCCAGGTGGGCGGCCCCACATTTTTGTGCAGATGTAACAGGCACACCAAGAAAAAAAAATAGCCCAAACGAAAGAACAGATTAAAGTTCCAGAAAATATACAACTAAGTGACAAAGAGATAGCTAGCCTATCAGATGCAGAGTTCAAAACACTGGTAATCAGTGTGCTCACAGAATTGGTTGAGTGTGGTCACAAAATAGAGGAAAAAATGAAGGCTATGAAAAGTAAAATAAAGGAAAATATACAGGTAACCAATAGTGATGGGAAGGAAACTGGGACTCAAAGCAATGGCTTGGACCAGAAGGAAGAAAGAAACATTCAACCAGAAATGGTAGAAACGAGAATTCAAAAAAAATGAGGAGAGGCTTAGGAATCTCCAGGACAACTTTAAATGTTCCAGCATCTGAATCATAGGGGTGTCAGAAGAAGAGGAAGAGCAAGAAACTGAAAACTTATTTGAAAAAATAGTGAAGGAGAATTTCCCTAATCTGGCAAAGTAAATAGACTTCTAGGAAGTCCAGGGAACTCAGAGAGTACCAAAGAAGTTGGACCCAAGAAAGCACAGACAAAGGCACATCATAATTATATTACCCAAGATTAAAGATAAGGAGAGACTCTAAAGCAGCAAGAGAAAAGGAGACAGTTAACCTGTGGGGGCAACTCTGCCTGCAAAGTCCCCCTGTCTGTTTTCACTTCATGAAAGTGAAACTACCAAGACATGACCTGCTTGAGGAGGAAAGGTGGTCAATCTCTCAAAGGGGAAGGGCCAAGAGCCCCTTCCTCAAGGGGCTTTTATTGGGTTCGTTTGCACAAAAATACAGGTAAGGATCAAACAATAGATAGCATTCAAAGAACCATGAGGGCTTATTCTCAGTCAGGGTCAGATAGCTAACAAGCCATAAAACTTTGAGGAACAGACTTCTTGCTTGGATCCTTATCATTTAAATGACAGCATTCTAAACAAAGCAGGTTTCACAGGATTTTTACATATTCTTTCTTATGCCTGATTTACCCTGGATACCCGCCCTTTCCAGCACAGAGCTGTACCACCTTCCTCATCATAGGCTTTTAGGCTTAAGTGGATTAGAGCCAGGAAGTGCTTCTCCCAGACAAAAATGGGGACTTGGCTATGTCACAATAGCTGGGGGATGAGGGTCCATCGCTCCCTCTTTGTCACAGCCCCTCCAAGTCCTTCCATGATGGCTTCCCAAGTGATCACATCTGGCCTAGGTTGCTCCTCTCTGAGGGGTCATACCTGCCATGGACATCACCCATGCTTTGGGGGCAGGGGAAGAAGCAGAAGCAGCACTTGCTGCCAGAGACCAGCTTTGTCTCCTGTGGCTCACATTTCACTTAGCCATGGGAGGCAGTTATAATTCCTGAAACCAGGCAGGGCAGTTCCCAACAGTTACCTACAAAGGAGTTCTCATAAGATTATCAGATGATTTCTCAAAAGAAACCTGGCAAGTAAGAAGGGGCTAGAAAGAAGTATTCTACATCATGAAAGGCAAGGACTTACATCCAAGATAGCTTTATCTAGCAAAGCTATCATTTAGAATGGAAGGGTAGATAAATTGATTCAAAGATAAGGTCAAGTTAAAGAAGTTCATCATCACCAAGGCCTTATTAACTATGCACAGTAAAATGACAACAAACTCACAGCTATCAACAACTAAACCTAAAACAAAAACAAAAACAAACTAAGCAAACAAGTAGAACAGGAACAGAATCACAGAAATGAAGATCACATGGAGGGTTATTATTGGGGAAGGGGAGAAGGAGATTGGGGAAAAGGTACAGGGGTACCTTGAGTAGCATAAATGGTAGGTAGAAAATAGACAGGGGGAGATTAAGTATAGCATAGCTAAAGTAGAAACCAAAAAAATGATATGTACGCCCCATGGACATGACCTAAGGCAGGGGGAATGTGGGTGGGAGGCGGTGTACAGGGTGGAGGGGAATAAGGGGGGGAGGATGGGACAACTGTAATAGCATAATCAATAAAATATATGTGAAAAAACAAAAAAAATAAATAAATTTTAAAAATAAAATAAAATTTGACTTATGACAGAGTCAGCATTACTGTTTAGTGAGAAAAAAGGATGGGTGTTGGGAACCTTACACCTGGCTTCTAGCTAAAAACATTGCATTGATTACAGGAACCTGTGCGCTCCACAAGCCAATCAGCTACAGGCACATGAGGTGTCCACGAGTACCAGTTGCACCCAAGTAATCAATAAGCGGGCCCTTCTTTGTCTCAAGCTAGCCAATAGCAAGCAACCTAATCTCCTTCCTTTCCCTCCCCCCCTATATATATACCCAGTTCGGAAAAATAAAGTTTGCAGCTTGATCAGAATCTTTTGTCTTGCTGCCATTCTTCGCGCCTCTTGTCCCCCCAACTCATTTGTTCTAGGTAGGTGGTCAAGCCCCAGTTGATTGCTCCGCGGGCCGGAGCAGATGGGCTTTTCAATAAATAGTATTGATGCAACTGGCTTAATTGATATGGAAAAATTAAACTGGACTCTGCCTCAAAGTATACAAAAAAGTCAGCTCTAGTTATTTTAAAACCCAAATTTGAAAGGTAGAACTATGATTACTTTAGAAGACAATGTAAAGAAAATGAATTATTTCTCAACAAAATGTCATAAGCCATTATAAAAAGATTGATATATTATTAGATAGAGCATATTTTAAAATATCTATTAATTAATTAAAAATGAGAAAATGACAAGAGAAATCTGAAACTGGGAGAGGGCATACATTGCACACACTACTGAGAAAGACCTAATATCCAGGATATATAATGAATTTATGTGAATTAATACCAGGCAAAGACAGGTAAATGGGAAAGACATAAATAAGCATTTCAAAGAAGAGGAAACATGAATGGTCCACAAGCAAATGGCAGTGTATGACCTCATTACTAAGGAAAATAAACATTAAAGTCTAAGGAGATATAATTTCTCATACCCAGGATTAACAAACATTGAAAAAGTCAGGTAATACCAGGTGCTGAGGAGGACATAGAGAAATGGGAACCTCATGCAGTGCAGATGGTAGTATAGTTGGGTCCAAGCACTTTGAACATAGTCCAAATACTGTTTTCGCATTGGGGGTGTGTGTGTGTGTGTGTGTGTGAATATTCAAATGCCTTATGGTCCCATATATAAAAATATCTATATATGAGCTATATACATGTATATGCCTATGACTCAGCAATTCTAATAAGTAGATATAGAGAGATATATTTAGATATACATGTGCCAGAGAACATCTTGTACACACTAAAAATGTTCACAGAAGCTTTATTCAAAATAACAAAAACTAGAAACAATACAAATGCCCATAAACAATAGATTTAATAATTTAATTGAGATATACTCATATAATAGACTATCATATAGAAATAAAAGTTAATAAACCTCAGATCACACATCAACATAAAATTAAGAGAAGGAAACATATTGGCAAAAATTTTATTTTCATGGTATTATTTATATCAGATTCAAAAAAAGATGAAACTAAACAATTTTCTTAAAATGAAGATTAGTACAGACTTTAGAAGTTGTTGCCTCTTGGAGGTGCAAGAGGAATGGAATCAGAAAGAGGTAACAAAGGCAAGCGTCAGCAAATATTTTTTATAATAGGTCAGGAAACATGTTTTTTTTGTTCACTTTTTTTGTTGCAAATACTCAACTCCACCATTTTAATAAGAAAACAGCACTGACATTATGCAAAAAATGGACATGGCTGTGGAGATGGCTGGGGGTTTGGCAGGCGTAGGGGGCATCCAGAGTGAGAAGGATGTAATATCTGAATGACCACTTGGTCTCCTACCTGAAGAAAGAAAAAGCCTGGAAGCTGATTTTTTTAGCCCAGAGAGCAAAATCTGAGAGAACCTGGAGAAGAAGGGACCCAAGACCAGAGACTGCAGACATTATTTCAAGACCTTCAAGGACCTGAGGGCTCAGATTTTTGCATGTTCTGTGGACATTGCCTATGTTGTTCTACAGATTGGCAATGCCCATCTTACTGCTAATGACTTCAGAGTCAGGTATGAAATGGAGCTGGTTATGCACCAGTCTGTGCAGAGTGACATCAATGGGATTCAAAAAGCAATTCTACTCCTGGGATTATATCCTAAGAATCCTGAAACACCAATCCAAAAGAACTTATGCATCCTAATGTTCATAGCAGCAAAATTTACAATAAGTAAAATGCTGGAAGCAACTTAAGTGCTTATCAGTAAATATGAGTGGATCAAAGAACTATGGTACATTTACACAATGGAATACTACACAGCATAAAGAAAGAAGGAGCTCCTACCCTTTGCAACAGCATGGGTAGAACTGGAGAGAACGTTATGCTAAGTGAAATAAGCCAGGTGATAAAACACGAAACCATATGATCTCACCTATAAGTAGAACCTAATCAACAAAACAAATAAGCAAGCAAAATATAACCAGATGCATTGAAATTAAGAACAAACTGACAGTAACCAGAGGGGAGGTGGGAGGGGATAATGGGGCAGAAAAGCAGAAAGTGTTTTCAGGAACAACTACAAAGGACACATAGACAAAACCAAAGCTGGTGGCATCGGGGGTAGGAGGTGGGGATGGCTGGTGTGGGCGGGAGTGGTGGGGGGAAAATGGAAACAACTGTACTTGAACAATAATAAAAAATAAAATAAAACGTATAATCCTTAGGTCATGAACCAGAATCATCACTACTTTAAAAAAAAAGTCGGTGATGACACCAATATCACTCGGATGCAGCTGGAAACAGAGATTGAGGCTCTCAAAGAGGAGCTGCTTTTCATGAGGAAGAACCACAAGGAGGAAGTACGTGGTGTACAAATCAGATTGCTAGAGAAAATAAATGAATAAAATGGCATTGTTAAAAAAAAACCAGATTGCCAACTCTGGATTGAGTGCAGAGTTGGACCTCAATGACATCATGGCAAACATCCAGGCCCAGTATGACAAGCTGGCTCAGAAGAACACAGAGGATCTAGATAAGTACTGGTCCCAGCAGACCAGGGAAAGCACCATAGTGGTCACCTTGCAAACCTCTGTGACAGGAGCTGCTGGGATGACATTCACAGAGCTGAGACATGTGGTCCAGTCCTTGGAGATCAACCTGGACTCGATGAGAAACCTGAAGGCCAGTTTGGAGAACAGCCTGAAGGAGTTGGAGACCTGCTATGCCATGCAGATGGAACAGCTCAACCAGATCCTGCCACACCTGGAGTCAGAGCTGGCCCAGACCTGGGCAGAGGGGCAGCATCAGGCCCAGTATTATAAAGCCCCGCTGGATATCAAGTTCAAGCTGGAGGCAGGATCATTACCTACCTGGAAAAATAAGATGACTTTGATCTTGATGACACCCTGGATAATAGCTGCTCTATGCAAACAATCCAAAAGACCACCACCTGTAGGATTTTAGACAGCAAAGTGGTTTCTGAGGTCAATGACACCAAAGTTCTGAGGCATGAAGGCAGCAGAAACAGGGCACCCCTTGGAGGGGGCAGGAGGCCAATAAAAACTTCAGAAACCACTAAACATTAAAAAAATAAAAATCAGAGAAAATGGGAATAAAGTCTAAACTTCACCCAGTACCTAATACATCGATGCCAGGTATTATTATTATTCCATTATTTCCCAGCCACCCAAATCTTGGTAGCCACTGTCTGATGGAATTCTTTCATCTCTACACACTTATTCACCTCTGTAGACAGAACCTGTTTTCCTTCTGCAAAGCAGCTGTCACCAGCTCATCATCCATGCCTCTAGGATACCTTCAAATGGTGTCTGAAACTGGACTACTTGGGCTCTACTGTTCATGGGCTCACTACACAGTAGCCAGGTCATTCTGGACAAGTTTCTTAAATTCTCTGGGTCTCAATTTCTTCATGTGTAAAATAGGAGCAGTAATAGTAATATATACCAGGGTTGTATGAGGATTACATAAGTTAATATTTATCTACTTAGATAAGTAAAATCCTTAGATGTACAACATAGTGCTTAATGCAAAATTTTGAACAGTGCTTGTTACATAGTAAGCTACGTATAAATTTTACCAACAACTTGATTGAGTTTGCTCTATTAACACCGCAAATGTTCATATTGGTTCTTGTCACTGTAGAGCTTGCCTTCCTTAGAAATGAAAAATTGTGTGGCAGCTACTTGTGATCTACTATAGAATTGGATTTTAAACATCCAAAGATATAACTTAGAATAATTGGCTTGAATTTTATTTTCATGTATTTTACTTCTCTCTCTCTGCTTCCTTCATTTCTTATTTTTCTATTATTGTTCAGAATAATTAAGATAAAAACTACCCACATCTGTTATTTATCTTTTCCTCCTGGGGCAAGGCAAATGTGTATAGTTCCCTCAAGATAACAGGAACCATATGGAGTCCATGGAATTATCAGTTTACAAATTCAAACTTTGGTGAAGATTGTCCACAAGCAGCCCACGGATCTTGGGTGAAAGAGTTTGCATTGCAATGTTTACATTCAGCAAACATAATGGTGTAAAACATGCTTGCAGCTGGTGTTGCAACAGAGTGAAGGGGCTTAAAAGTGGTTCTGAGTGGTTCTCAAACTTTGCTGTACATTAGAATTGCTTTAGATGCTTTAAAAAAACCCTATTCTCATGTCACATCTCACACTAATTAAATTGGAGGCTGTTGGGTAAAAGCAATGGCATCAGTATTTGTTTTTATTTTTTTTTCTAGGCAATTTCTATGTGCAGGGAAGTATGAAACATGTTAGAGACAACAAGAGCTTGTGAAAAGTTTTTTACATTATTTGGCCACTACAAGAGAAATACTAATAGATCAAAATATACCTTCACTCGGAGCCATTTTTGCATTCCCTTTAGATCATGCACATGTTTGGGTAAAAAATTTATCCAATGCAAATCCTAATTAGTAACCCTGGAGTGCTGTCCCTCAATAACACCCTTTTCAAAAGCAATGAACACTGAGTTGATTGGGCCCAGAGGATTTAGTCTAATCTTGCTCTAGTGAGGCAGAAAGAGAGGAGGAGGAGGAGGAGGAAGAGGAGAAGGAGAAGGAGAGGAGAAGGAGAAGGAGAAGGAGAAGGAGAAGGAGAAGGAGAAGAAGAAGAAGAAGAAGAAGAAGAAGAAGAAGAAGAAGAAGAAGAAGAAGAAGAAGAAGAAGAAGAAGAAGAAGAAGAAGAAGAAGAAGAAAGAAGGAGAAAGAGAAAAAGGAGGTGGAGGAGGATGACAATGATAGGGAGAAGGAGGAGAAACTCAATCATTCATTTAATTTTTAAATCAGTTGCTATTCATTCAACAAGTTGCATCCTGGGCTTAACACAAGCTCTGTGTCTGTTATGCTTAATCACATACAGTTGGCCTTCAAATAGAGATCAGAAGGTGACACACAAGGTACATTTCAGACACCAGCTGGCTCCAATTCAGGGTCCTGGAAAGAGTCTTGCTGAACAGTGGGTCACTTTTCAGAGGATGACCCACTGGATGCCGCTTGGAAGACAATTTGCTTTGATCTTGGAGGGCCTTTTCACTCTTGTGAAAATCTCTGGGTCCCGCAGCTCCCTACAATGGTCTTAGTGTCTGTAGAATCCTTTCCCATGTTGCCTTCTTATTGCAGGAAAACAGTGAGGCACTTGAATTTCCTATGGAGAGCTGTGTTGCCATCAAGAATTGGATCCCTCCTCTTGTTGTTTTTCTTTTCTTTTAAATAGAAATGAGATTTCAAACAATAACTCTCCTATGCTGTATAAAGTTACCTGACTGTAGAACCAGCTTCTGATTGGCTCAGGAGAGTGATTTTGGTAATTAAAGTTTATTTGTAAAATGAGAGACTGTGTTTTGAAATAATATAATTCTGAAGTGATTTCTAGTTCTTAGACTAAAATTGTCCATTTTAAAGCTTCTAGCATGACCTTCACTAGTGTTGAAGTCAGACCAAGGTTCAAGTACCAATTTTACAACTCATCTTAGGCAACTTTCTTATTCTTTCTGGACCTCAATTTCTGCACCTCCAAAAAGGAGCTAATCATTACACTTGCTCTTCAGGTCTAGAGAGTTGTGTGGCCAGCAGCATGGTTCCTGGGTCAGGCTGCGTGGCCTGAGCCTCAGCCCTGGCAGAACTAGCTATGTCACTCTGAGCATAGAATATTTCCATGCTTCATTTCCTTCACTTGTAAAATTGGGATGTTTACAATGAATATTTTGTAAGCTGATTATGAGAATTAAATATTAATGTGCATTACATGTAGCACAGAACCTGGTAGATAATAATTTTAAAATAAAATCATTGCTATCATCATCTTACTATCAGTATAAATAAAACTGCATAAATAAGGTACTTGTAGCTACCTGCGACATGTACCCTGTCATCCGCTCTGGTCTCCTCTTACTTCCTTTTATCCCCAGGGCCTTCTGAACACCTGAGACCTATGGCCTCCCTGAGGACAAGGATAACTGGTTTATCTTTCACTTTGCAACAACTAGCTTTGTTTCTGGTGCTCAGTCAGTCCTTAGGGGATAAATAAATGGGCTAATTAAAAGAACTTCTGGCAATTACTTTCTGAAATGTTATGGGCACGCCTCAAGTAAAGATTTATTCAAATAAAACAGAATCAGATATGACTTAACAATTGTCATGGGCTTGGATATTTGGTTGGGAAAAATACCTCAGAAATGATAGGTAAAGGAGCTGGGTTCCTTGTTTCTTATATGGTCTGGACTCATTGATTCATTCAGCCAACGAACACACACCATCTCGATACAGGTCACTGTGCTCAACTCCAGGAATTCAGCAGGGAACAGACCTTGAATTTAGACAAGATCTGGCCTTTGTGGAACATATATTCTAGTCAATAGAAACATACACTAAGCTGGGAGATAATTAAATGAAATAGATAATAGTAAGTGCTACTAAGAAAATAAGACAAATGGATTGCGAAGTATTTGGGGTGAGGGCCACTCACTCACCTTTTGTGGTGAGGAAGAACTTCACTGAAGAAATGACATTTAAGGTCTGAATGCAAGTAGTGACAGCTCAATATACATGATATTAAGAGATAAATGAAGAGATCCAGGGAAGGTCACCCAAGTCAGGGAAACAGCAGACACAAAGATCCTGGGACACGGAAGTGCTGCTAAAGTGAAGGGACAGCTTGCGGTCTCTGCCACAGTCAGACTCTCTGAACAACAAATATCCATATGAACCCTTTCTCCCATACACACAAAAACAAACTTAACCTCTTTTTCATGGAGATACCCAAATGCCCCATCCATTTACTACATGCAACTCAACATCCATGATCACATCAGATCCCACTTTCTCCCTCAGATCCAATCTTGGTTCCTTCGTCCATGAACTATATAACAAAATATTTGTTTCCACTCTTCCTCACACCATAAAATGCAGTGGCGGGGCAGAGATGAGATAACCATCAAGCAAACTCAGAAAAGGAAAACATGGGAAACACCCAGCAGTCCCTGTCCTGGTGATGACGTCTTGCTAAATAGGCATTAGATAAGCACACCCCCGGTCCTGATACCAACTGGGCAGTGATTCGACTGGGAGGAACTCCCTTGCCAATCTCTCTCCATAACTCCTAATTTTTCCTTGTTATTCCCCTCCATGGATACTTCTGAATTGTAGGAAGTGTTCTCTCCTTGGGAACTATAACATTTTCAGTTGCCTCCTATTGATACAAGCTTAGGAGTCCAAGGGTTGTTTTATGGTTTACAGAGGGATCATGAGTTGTTAGCAATATAATTTTCTCACTTAGAGAACTTTCAATCTATCTGCTTCCATACAAAATTCTTTTGTAGACATTATTCTTGTATGTACTTTATATCTGTGTCTCTTCACCACCATAGCCCCGCTCTCAATTTACCTTAAGGCCTCTTAAAACAAAACTTAGCTTAAGTGGACAGTAGTAACACCCTTCATGTAATTTTCATTGGAAGGCTGAGGACTTCGTATTTTATCTGAACGTTCTTACTGAGCTTCTGTCACGTGAAGGCTTTTGAGTTTTATTTCCTAGCTTTTGGGGTGCAGAAGCAAGTGGTTTTTCCAACCTCGCAAGGTCTTTAATTGCTGATTGCAAATCATACAGTTCTTCCCTCAGCTCATCTCTTTCTTGTAATTTTCAAAATGTAGACAACAAATGGAAAAGCAAGTAACATGCCATAATATTCTTTCTAATTTCTTTTTAACAGGCTCAGTAGGCATGTGTTCTGTCTTCTGAGTTGTCACAGGCTTGCTGCTGCATAAACTGGGTTTTCATCTTTCCACTCTGATTTATTTACTTTTTGATCAAGTCAATACCATCACAACATCTGCTTCCAAGGTACCACTTCCAGCATTACTAATGGTGGGCCATACTGTGAATGAGAAGATGCTGTTGTGCTAATCTGAATGAAAGAGCACAGTGGCTTACACCAGAATTTTAGCAGTGGAATTGACAGGACGTAGTTAAATTCCAGATAAAACTTAATGACAAAATCAACAGGGACAGAGTCATGCATTGGACATAGAGGGACAAGGGAAATAGGTT